AAACGTCAGCCTTCCTGCTCCTCTGATGCTGCTTGGCCTGCTGTGTTCATCCAGCTCTACACCTTGTTATCTCAACCCTCTGTGGGAAGCAATTTCACCACATTTGGCTTCAATGGGCAAGCCCTTATCTTGCAACTGTGAACCCAGAAAGCATTTCTTCACACAAAAGGCAAAGGAAATTTGAAATGACCTTCCCTCACTAAAAAGACCTGCTTAGTTTGGGTCGATTGGAAGAGAGTGATTGAGAGAGGAATTGCATAAAATGTTGGCAAAATGAAATGAAGTTGGCTTGTGTGGAGCATAAAAGTAATAACAGTATAGGCCTAAACAAAAATAAAAATCAAAGAACTGCGGATGCTGGAAAACAGAAATTGCTGGACAAAAGGGTCACTGGACCCAACACATTAATTCTGTTTTTCTCTCCAAAGATGTTGCCAGACCTGTTGAGCTTTTCCAACAAGAGCACTCAGATCCTGTGCGGACCAACTGATGGAGGTATTCACCGAAATCTTCAACCTCTCGCTCCTATAAGCCGAAGTCCCCACCTGCTTCAAGAAGACCATCATCCTCCCAGTACCTAAGAAAACACATGCAATGTGTCTTAATCACCCAGTGGCTCTGACCTCAATAATCATGAAGTGCTTTGAGAGGCTGGTCATGGCCTACATCAACTCCAGTCTACCAACCTGCCTCGATCCCCTACAATTTGCCTACTGACGTAACAGGTCCACAGAGGATTCTATATCCCTAGCCCTGCACTCATCCCTGGAACATCTGGATAGCAAGGACACCTATGTCAGACCCCTGCTCATTGACTACAGCTCCACCTTCAACACCATTATCCCGTCCAGACTGATCTCAAAACTGCATGACCTTGGTTTTGGCTCCACCCTCTGCAATTGGATCCTCAGATTTCTGACCCACAGACCACAATCAGTGAGGATGGATAACTGCACCTCCTCCACAATAACACTCAACACTGGAGGCCCCCAAAGTTATGTCCTCAGTCCCCTACTGTACTCCCTGTTGCTAAATTCCGAACAAATGCAGTCTACAAGTTCTCCTACGACATCACCGTAGTGGGACAGATATTTAACAACAACTAGTCAAATTACAGAAGGGAGATAGAGGGCTTGGTGACATGGTGAAATGAAAACAATCTGTCTCTCAGCGTTGGCAAAAATAAAGAACTGATTGTTGACTTCAGAAAGAACGGAGGCGAACATGCCCCCATCTACATCAATGGAACTGAGGTTGAGAGGGTGAAGAGCTTCAAGTTCCTTGGAGTGACGATAACTGATGACCTGTCCTGGATTTCCCACGTAGATGCGACGGTCAAGAAGACACAACAACGCCTCTTCTTCCTCAGGCAGCTCAGGAAATTTGGCATGTCCATAATGTCCCCCACCAACTTCTACAGATGCACCATTGAAAGCATACTGTCCGGGTGCATAACAGCCTGGTATGGTAACTGCTCTGCCCAGGACCGTAAGAAACTACAGAAGGTGGTGTGCATAGCCCAGACCATCACGGAAGCCAACCTCCCATCCATGGACTTCATTTACACAGCTCGCTGCTGCGGAAAGGCGGCCAACATCATCAAAGACCCATCACACCTCAGTAATGATCTCCCACAACCTTTTCTGTCCGGCAGAAGATACAGAAGCCTGAACACACACACGAGCAGGTTCAGGAACAGCTTCTTTTTGGCCATTATCAGACTGTTGAATGGGCTGTAGCCTCAAATACTGTAACCTGCAATGTAACCTGTATGCCTCTAAGTCTTTTTCATCTGTACATCCTTTGCTTGCTGTGATCTGCCTGTACGCACTCGTAAACAAAACTTTTCACTGTATTTCAGTACACGTGACTATAAAATCAATCAAATCAAATCAAAGCTTTCCGGTGGAAGTCATTTGCTTTAGCTTATCTCAGTAGTCTCTTCTCCCTTGTGTGCTAATGTCGGCTTTCCCTTAGATATGTTGATGCTGCTGCTACGACCAGACCCTGGGCAGGATTCCTTGACTTTGGTAGATCCAGATGGGGTAGTGGGAATTGTTAAGGTCCGTGGTGACCTGGTTCCCCTTCGGTATTCATCTGCTCCCTTGGTTGGTCACAACAATAGAATTGAATGGTAATTTATTGTCATTCGTGCTTTCACAAACAAAAGGCAGTGAAAAGTGTTTATGTTATCATACTGCAGCACCTATATTAATAACAGAAGTTATATTTTGTTTTCAACTCATTTGTGGTGTCGCTGACTGGGCCAACATTTCTGGCCCGTCCCTCGTGGCCCCTTGAGAAAGTGGGGGTGAGCTGCCTTCTTGAACCACTGCAGTCCTCCTGCTGTGGGTTGACCCACAATGCCATTAGGGAGGAAATTCCAGGATTTTGACCCAGCAACAGTGAAAGAACGGCGATATATTTCCAAGTCAGGATGGTGAGTGGCTTGGAGGGGAACTGGGAGGCGGTGGTGTTCCATATATCTTTAAGATGGTGGCAGAGTATGATGCTCCGGTCGGAGCCCCTCTGCTCACCAGTCCCCTTACCATTCTTCCCTCTTTTTTTCTCTCCTCTTTGTGGTTTTCCCTTTCTCCCCCCTCCACCCTGGAGACTGGAGTTGTAGCGAGAGGGGCCAAGTCCCTCAGCAGACAGAAGAGAACATGAGCTGTGTTCCACAGTGGAACCAGCAGGGGCAGCGTGTCCTTATGCTCTGGGGCCTGCAGGTTAGCCCCGTGAGCCCCAGAACATCACAAACAGTAAGCTCCAGAACAGCACCTGGGCTGTGAGCCCGGAGCAGCACCTGGGCTGTGAGCCCGGGGCAGCACCTGGGCTGTGAGTCTGGAGCAGAAGAGGGCTGTGAGCCCGGAGCAGCACCTGGGCTGTGAGCCCCAGAGCAGCACCTGGGCTGTGAGTCCGGAGCAGCACCTGCGCTGTGAGGCCGGAGCAGCACCTAGGCTGTGAGCCCGGAGCAGCAGTGGGCTGTGAGCCCGGAGCAGCACCTGGGCTGTGAGTCTGGAGCAGCAGAGGGCTGTGAGCCTGGAGCAGCACCTGGGCTGTGAGCCCGGAGCAGCACCTGGGCTGTGAGTCTGGAGCAGCAGTGGGCTGTGAGTCCCGAGCAGCAGTGGGCTGTAAGTCCGGAGCAGCACCTGGGCTGTGAGTCCAGAGCAGCAGTGGGAGGTGAGTCTGGAGCAGCAGTGGGCTGTGAGCCCCAGAGCAGCAGTGGGCTGTGAGCCCGGAGCAACAGTGGGCTGTGAGCCCAGAGCAGCAGTGGGCTGTGAGCCCCAGAGCAGCAGTGGGCTGTGAGCCCCGGAGCAGCAGTGGGCTGTGAGCCCCAGAGCAGCAGTGGGCTGTG